TGCAGAATCTGAAAGTCCCAGCCTTGGCCTTAGTCCTAACACAGCTGGGTAGGGAGCTGGAGCTGCTGCTGCTGCAGAGGCTGCCGCCATTCTCCCTCATACAGCTAGTCGGTGACTGCACTTCCCCCTTACTTCTTTTTGGTTGGTTGGTTGGTTTTGTTTTGGCTTTGAACTCACAGAGATCCCCCTGTCTCTCTTCCCATGTGCTGGGATTAAAGGCCTGCACCACCCCCCTGGCTCCCCCTTGGTTCTCCCAGCAGATGGAATCAGAGTAGGGTGATTGCCTCTGAAGCAGTTCCGTAACTGAGGACCCCCACCCTGGGGGACAGCCCCAGTCACACGTCCTGCCCAGCAGCAAGGCAGCCCTTGAGCTCTCTGTCCCACGAGCAGAGTTGTTGCAGAGTGCCTGGAAGATGATAAGCTGGCAGCTGGGACAGAGTCCCACCCAAAGATAGGTTTTACTTTGATTTATAGTACAGTGTCTTCTTTTGAAATAGGATCTGGCTGTATAGTCAGTCAATGCTGGCCTCAAACTCACAGCAGTCCTCCTGTCTCTGTCTGGAATTATAAGCATGAGCCATAAAACCCTTCTTATACAGAGTACACACCCTCCCTCTCCCCTCCCCCCCCCTCCCCTCCCTCCACATGTTATTGAAAACACTGTGCACAAGTCAGCATAGCCTCAGATGTTGGTCCTCACCTTCCCTGTTCCTTGGAGGCTGCAGAGTCTCTGCTGTTTTTCCCTCAGGCTCACTGGGCTCTCAGCTGGGCATTCTGTCTCCCATTTCTTTGGCTGTGGAGTGCTGGGACCGCATAGGCTCATGCTGCTCTGTCTAGCTTTTCTGTGTCTTCTGGGTATTCAAACTCAGGTCTTCACACTTGTGTGGCAAACACCTTTACCCTTTATCCCCTGACCCATCCCCAAGGTCCCTCTTTGTCTTGCTCCTTCCCAATTTTCCCCCTCATTTTTAAATTTGTTCTTTTGAGACAATACCTTACCCTGGAGTCCAGGCCAGCTTTAACATACTGCTCATCCTCAGTCTCCAGGACCCTGCGGTTTTAGGCAAGAGACACCATGGATTGCTTTTATTTGCAGTTCACATAAAACCTGTATTCTGACCCTGATTTAAACTTTGGAGGTCCCTGGCTTGCACTGTTCCAGGATTTACTGGTCTAGATGACTCAGGTGCATCTGCTCCAGGATGTCAGAGCATTCCGGTCCTGCCCTGCTGCCACCCTGCTTTCCTGGACTTTTGTGGGCCTTTGTCATGTAGAACTCTGAAATGGAAGTGGACAGTGGGCAGAATTGTAGCTTCCTTTCGTTTTGTTAAATCTTGTCTGTGTGGGCAAGGTATGTGCAGGTACCCACGGAGGCCAGAAGCACAGATTCCTCTGGAGTTTGAGTTCCAGGTGGTTGTGAGACATGGGTACTGGGAACTGAGCTCTGCAAGAGCAATGTGTCCTTAACCACTGAACCATCTCTGCAGCGCCACCTTTTAGTTTTTAAATGCCTTTGACCTCTGGCATTTTGTTAAGTATAAGGCTTTCTCTGTTTTTTGTCACTGAGGTTCTTAGGTTGGTTTGATTTCTTATTGTGGCACATGTTAGAATGTCATAGATACTCTGTAATGACCTTGAAAGATTATGTCACTACTACAGAAACGGGGCAAACTGCAGGGAATTGTTTCAGTCTGTGTTCTATTGCTGATAACAAATACCACATACGAAGTTTTACAGAAAAGATATTTACTTTGACTCATGTTCTGGAAGCCCAAAGTTGATGGGTGGATGTGTGTGTGTGTTCCTGTGTGTGCAGGTGTACAGTCATTATGAGCTGAGTGTGTGTGTTCCTGTGTGTGCAGGTGTACAGTCATTATGAGCTGAGTGTGTGTTCCTGTGTGTGCAGGTGTACAGTCATTATGAGCTGAGTGTGTGTGTTCCTGTGTGTGCAGGTGTACAGCCGTGATGGGCTGGGTGTGTGTGTATTCCTGTGTGTGCAGGTGTACAGTTGTGATGGGCAGGGTGTGTGTGTGTGCAGGTGTACACTTGTGATGGGCAGGGTGTGTGTGTGTGTGCAGGTGTACACTTGTGATGGGCAGGGTGTGTGTGTGTATTCCTGTGTGTGCAGGTGTACACTTGTGATGGGCAGGGTGTGTGTGTGCAGGTGTACAGTCATGCTCATGCTGGTGGAGGCCAGAGGTCATCGTCAGGTGTCTTCCTCTGTCACTCTCCACTTTAGTTTTGGGGACAAGGTCTCTTACTGAACCTGGAGCTCACCACTGTGGCTGGATTGGCTGGTCAGCAGGCTCCAAAATCATCCTGACTCTGCCTGCCCAGTGCTGGGGTCACAGACATGCACCACTGTATCTGCCTTTTGTTATTGTCATGCTTATATTGATTCATTTATTTTGTGGGGGTGTGGGTGCTAGGCATCCATTGACAAACACATCACAGACTGAGCCCTTAACCCACCTCCATTATTTGGGGGACAGGAGTCTCCACATGTAGCCCAGGCTAGCCTTGAACTTGGGCTGGCCTTGGACTCTTGTATACTGGGACGGCAGGTGTGTGCCACACCTGGCTTTAGTGGTGGCCTTTTTGGCAGGAAGGTTCAGTGTGTATGCCCTGGTCTCTTTCTTTTTTTTAGACCGGCTATCCTGGATCTCACTGTGTAGACCAGCCTAGTGTGGAACTGACGAAGACCCACCCATCTCTGCTTCCCAATTGCTTAGATAAAGGCTTGTGCTGCCAGGCCTGGCCTTTTCCCTTTTTTTGAAGCCAGTAGCACTGAGTGTTAGACCTCACTCCAGTGACCTTACCTGATCCCAACTCCCTAAGCTTTATGGGAATTAAGCCCTAGCATGAGTTTCTTTCTCTTTTTAAAAAAGGAATCATTTTGGCTCAATTAACGTGAGTTTCCATGAGGCATATTATAGCAGTAATATTCAGACTACAATCTCATTTGTATGTAGGATTTGGTTTTTTTAAAACAGGGTTTAGAAGATTTAGATTTATTTTTATGTACATGAGTGTTTTGCTTGCACACTGCATGACTGTTGCCCATGGAAGCTGGAAAAGGGTGTTGAAACTCCTTGAACTAGAGTTACAGATGATTGTTAGCACCATATGAGTCCAGGGTACGCCCCACCCCCAAGCCCCATCCCATCCCCAAGCCCCCTGTACTTAAACATGCTAGAGTAAACATTTCAGGCTTTGTGGAACCCATAGTGTGTCCCAGCTCCTTGCCTCTGCTGATGTATTGTGAAAACAGTCTCCCTGTGTGAGTGCCTGCATTCCAGTGAAACTTTACAAAAACTGGTCATCGACTTGCAGGTCAGAGCTGCTGATTCCTCGTGGCTCAGTGTCAGGGAAACACGTGTCCTGTGAGGAGGTGGAGCTGGCCGTGATAGTCTACACCTGTGATCCTGGTGCTCAAGGACCATGGCAGTAGACAGTACCACTTGAGCAATTTAGTGAGACCCTGTCTCAGAACAAAAAAATATGAGTACTGGGGATGTAGCTCGGGAGTGGAGGAATGCTTGCCTGAGGTGTGCAGGGCCCTGTGTTCAGTCTCCAGTACCTACAAAAGGGAGAAAGGAACAGGAATCTCATCAAAAGGTCATTCTAGGTGCCCTGCTTTGTTTATGTTAGTCAAGGGGAAGACTTTCTCAGGATGACAAATCTCACCTTTCTCCCCGTCAGGCACAGGACCAGGACCTCAGCACAATTTCACCAGCAATCATCTTTGAATCCATGTTCCAGAATTCAGATGACCCTGCAATTCAAGATGATCCTCTGCAGACAGGTATGTTTTCACGTTTCAGTCCATCTTTCCCCAACTCCCTTGGATGCATAGGGAAGGTCTCCTTTGCAAACTCTTGTTGGATTTAAAAGAACAGCAGGAGCTGTGGACGTTTTTCCTTCCTTGTGCTGCTCCATTCATGAGTGGGTGGGACCCACAAATGAGGCTTCTGACGTGTAGGTAACACTGCCAGAGTGGAATGCCTGTCAGTACAGCTTTCCGCTGCCAGATGTCTTCTGACGAGTCACGCCAGAAAGCTTGCCTCTTCTCTTTGCAGAAGCAGCACAGGATACTTTTGTGCTAGTTCATTTCCTTTAGTACTCGTCTTTATAAAGTGTGCTTGATCAGGAAGCCAGGCCAGCTAGCAGTGAAGTGATTGGCCCATAAAGACTGTTTTTGCGGTGCCCATGAAGCTCGGGATGTGGATACACGTTTCTTCTTCTTTGCCTTGCCAGCTGCCTTGATTGAGAGTTTGAACGGTGATGCAGAGTCAGTCAGTGATGTTCCACCACCTGCAGGGAATGCGGCGTCTTTATCCCTTCCGCTCGTGCTGCAGCCTGGCATCTCTGAGCCTCCCCAGCCCTTGCTCCCAGCCTCAGCTCCGTCCGCTCCTCCACCGGCCCCCTCCCTAGGACCTGGCTCCCAGGCAGCTGCGTTTGGCAGCCCCCCTGCCCTCTTACAACCTCCAGAAGTGCCTGTTCCCCACAGCACACAGTTTGCTGCTAATCATCAAGAGTTCCTGCCGCACCCCCAGGCGCCACCCCAGACCATCGTACCAGGACTTTCTGTTGTTGCTGGGGCTCCTGCATCAGCAGCAGCAGTGGCATCGGGCGTGGCAGCACCAGCCCCACCACAAAGTACTACTGAGCCCCTGCCTGCTATGGTCCAGACTCTGCCCCTGGGTGCCAACTCTGTCCTAACTAATAATCCCACCATAACCATCACCCCAACTCCCAACACGGCCATCCTGCAGTCCAGCCTAGTCATGGGAGAGCAGAACTTACAGTGGTTATTGAACGGTGCCACCAGTTCACCCCAAAACCAGGACCCAATTGTAAGTATTACTCGGAATCACACTGGGGGGTGCGGTGTCTACAGAGGACATGTCCCTTCCCTCCTTCCTTTCTTTTTTCTAGTGGTAATGGGGATTGAACCTTCCCACGTGCTAGACAGTGCTCTACCACGGAGTGCAGCAGCCTTCGGTCTGTTGTTTCACAGGGGAAGTGGCTAGCTTGTCTACCTTGAAACCTGAATCCATGTAGCTGTTTCTCCCAGTAAAGTGTTGCAGATCCAGGGGAGTGGATTCGTATCTAAGTTAAAGACGAAGACAAACAACACACCTGAACGAACATTTCTTCTAAAGCTAATCACATCGTCTAGTGCCACACAGACACTCCCAGCCTGTGGCCTATGGGCTGGCTGCATGTGTCCCAGGATGGCAGTGGTTTGGCTCAGCATTGGCAGACCACATCATCAACTTGTATGTAACATCCAAAGGTTGGACTCTCTCTGCAGGAGAGCAGTCAACAGACCCCAGAGGCCCAGGAATGTGTCAGGGAAGCGGATCTGTTCACTTTCTTCTTTTCTTTTTGCAGTGCAAGGGGTCAGACCCGTTGCCATGCACATGCTGGGCTAATAGTCCACCACTGAGCACGTCCCAGGCCAGAGGACCTTTCTAAGAATGCATTTGGTCTTGACTCTGGAAACCACTTGGCTGCCGTGTTGGTGTATTTTGAGAGCCTAGTATTTGCCAGATTCTATGCTGGAGGATACAGAGAAATGAAAAGCATGATTTATTTTAAGATGTACATTCAAGGAAAGAGACTAAAATATTAATATTACCAATGGGCAAAGAGCCCAATATTACCAGCAGTGAAGCAAAACAAAGTAAAGAAGCCCTTTCGTAGAGCTCTTACGTGAATGGGGTGACTGTGCACTCTTTTTTTGTTGTTGTTTGTTTTTTGTTTTTTAGGTTTTTCTTGTTTTGTTTTGTTTTCAAGACAGGGTTTCTCTGTGTAGTTTTGGTGCCTGTCCTGGATCTCACTCTATAGACCAGGCTGGCCTCGAACTCACAGAGATCCACCTGCCTCTGCCCCCGAGTGCTGGGAGTAAAGGCGAGCACCACCACCACCCGGCTTAACTGTGCACTCTTTTAGGATGTTTACTTATTGTTGAGAGGGCACACGTGTGCACGGCATGTGTGTGGAAGTCAGAGGCCAATTTGTGGGAGACATTTCTTGGTGGCAGGTGTCTCTCTACCTACTAAGTTTTTTTGTATTTTTTGTTTGTATGTGTGTTTTTAGATCGGGTCTCTACAGCCCTGGTTGTCCAGAATCTCATTAAACGCAGAGATCCACCTGCCTCTGCCTCCCGAGTGCTGGGATTGCAGGCCTGCGCCACCACACCAGGCTCCGCTATCTTGCCAGCTCTCTCTTAGTTTTTTTTTTCCAGTTTTATTTTTAATTTCTGTATATGAATGTGTTGTCTGTATGTCTGTCCACCATGTGCTAGCCTGGTGCCCTCAGAAGCCATAGAGTGACCGGTCCATCCAAGGCAAAATGGAGTCTTGAAAACAGGCACTCAGAGGCGCGCACCGGCACACAGATCAAGTGGGCCTTGAGCCATGGCTAGGGACTGGGTGAAAAGTAGCAGGGACTCCAGAGGGAGATTTGTGCCGGCTGTAAACAAACTGGAAAGACAGTGTAGAAATGGGCTGGCAGCCACCTGTGAGTGAGATGGTCAGTCCTTGGAATGGCCTTTGCAGTATTCTCTTCCAGTCTGCCTGCCTAGAGTCTGTTGTTCCTGAATCTGCCCTTGCGGAGCTGTTAAAACAAATGCCATTCTTTCCCTGGGAATCATTTACATAGATTTACATGTGGTCTCTTACCTGTAATCCCTTTGCTCAGGTGTCGGGCTAGAGAACTAAGTTTAAGGCCAGCCTGGGCTATAAAGCCAGATCCTGTATCTACACACACACACACACACACACACACACACACACACACACACATAAAAAGTAAAGAAAAAGGGGTGGTGGGGGAAGACCGGACACTCCTGTCTCCCATCTTTTTTATCCCCTATGTCGGGGACTAAACCTTTGCAAGTGCTCTCCCGCTGAACTCATTCCTCGGCCGTCTATCATTCGTTTCATTTTATAGTTCTGTCTGTATCTTAGCCAGAAACCAAAATTCTTCCGAGACTCATACTGAAGCACACTTTGTTATGTTTTAAATTAGAATTAAAATTGGGAGGCAGAGGCAGGCAGATCTCTGTGAGTTCGAGGCCAGCCTGGGCTACCAAGTGAGCTCCAGGAAAGGCGCAAAGCTACACAGAGAAACCCTATCTCGAAAAACCAAAAAGCCCCTTTAAGATAAGAACAGTTTTTGTGCTCTTATGTATATGGATTTTTTGCTTGCATGTATGTCTGTGTACCACATGTGTGCAGTGCCTGTGGAGGCCAGAAGAGGGCACTGGATCCCCTGGAACTAGAGATAGAGACTGCCAGGTAGATGCCACTTTGTGCTACTGTGTAGATGCTGGGAACTGAACTCTGGTCCTCTGGAAGAGCAACCAGTTACTCTCAGATGCTGAGCCGTCTCTCCAACTCCCAGAAACCCTTTAATGTAATAGGAAGTAAAGTGAGATTCTAGTACAGGTTTTTGTTGTTGTTTTTTTCCTCCGAGACATGGTTTCTCTGTGTAGCTTTGTGCCTTTCCTGGATCTCGCTCAGTAGACCAGGCTGGCCTCGAACTCACAGAGATCCGCCTGGCTCTGCCTCCCGGGTGCTGGGATTAAAGGTGTGTGCCACCACCGCCGCCCCGGCTCTAGTACAGGTTTTTTGCTTGTTTTAGTTTTTGAGACGGTATCTTACATTAGGTCTGGTCTCAAACTCACTATGCAGCCAAGGCTGGCCTTGAACTCCTAACCTTCTAGCCTGAGTGCTGTGTGCCTCTGCACAATGTATGGTCTTCATAGGAACAATACAAAGGCTGATGTGTCCTGACTGTGTTCTCATGTACCACCTCATTCATCTTGAGAGGCCTGTGGGCGGCCCTTCAGTTATCATCTCAGCCTTAATAGGAAACTGAGGCTCTAATGACTTAAGTCACTTGGCTACAGTGTCAGCATGAGAGGTGGAAGCAGGTGGATCACAAGTTCATGGCCAGCCTGGGCTACATAGTTAGAGCTTGTTTCATAAGACAAAACAAAAACAAATGAAAAAGTCCATTCACTTGCCTGACAGGTGACCGAGCCTGGACATAAATCTGGTGTAGCCAAATCCAAGACCCAGAGCAGGACTCTCCTGAGCCCTCGGAGTACTGCATGCTCAGGATAGATAGATAGCCTTAGCCTGCCCTGGGGGGTCAGTCTAGACCCTGAGGGGTCAAAAGGAACTTTGCAGCTCTCACAGAATTGGGATGGACAAAGCTAGCCCAGGACTCCCTCTAAGAAGGCCGTCGCTTGAGAAAAGCAACCTCGGAGGGGTCTTTGGACAAATACAATCCACTGGACAGGCAGCTGGGAGACAGCCAAGTAACGGGGACAAAGCTAGCTATAATGTCAGCATGGAATGTCAAACAGTGCAGTGACCTCATATCAGCGCCCAAACAAAACACCCTTCAGTACAGAAATGCCGGAACACTGAGGGTTTTCTATCTTCTTGGGTGACCACGACAACCGGGGAGGCTTTGGAGCCTTGGATGGCTGCCGCACTGGGGTGGCCGTCAGTGTGACCATTGTGTTGTGTTGTTGTTTCCCTTAGCAGCAAGCATCGAAAGTCGAGCAGGTCTATTTCACCACTGCAGTCCCAGTGGCCAGTAGCACAGGTACGTAATTCCACGTCAGCTTTCAAAGAAAGTCCTCCGGCTCTCTGTCCTTGCTTCAGGTTCTAGGGGTTTTTAAAATCCTGAGACAGCCTCAGTGAAGTTGACCTTCCACTGTTTACTGAGGAGCCTGTGTTCTCGTGGCGACCAGAAGCTGGTGTGCTGCTGCTGCTGCTGCTGCTGCTGCTGCTGCTGCTGCTGCTGCTGGTGAAAATGCAGCTCCATTCTTTACCTGTCTAAGTGCTTCCCCTTGACGGAGCTTGGACGCGGAACCAGGGGAAACCAGGTTAAATCACAGTTAATGCTAAAGAGGGCAGTTGTTAATTCACGGGGCTCTTTTCTAATTACAGTAAGCAGCAGCAGCAGCAGCAGCATCTGGGTCAGAGACTCGCGGAGCTGAAAGGTCCTTTCATTGGAGTGCAGTTTTCTTTTTCTTTTTTCTTCTTTTGCTGGTATTAAGGCTTGAACCCAGAAGCTCATGCATGTTAGTCAAACTTCCTACCACTGAGCTATATCCCCTAGCCAGACCTTTCATTTGAAACTTTTTCTTTTTATGTATTAAACCGAGAACTAGGCATGGGGGTGCGTGCCTGTGCCGCCGGCACTGTGGGCTAAGGCAGGAGTGCGAGAATTCAGCTCTGGGTTAGCCTGGGCTCCGTAGTGAATTCTAGGCCAGGCTGGTAAAAATCCTGCAGTGGCAGGCTGACTGAAATAATTAAGTGGGTGAAATAAAGGTAAATGGAAGGAGAGAGAAAAACTGGGACCTAGCCAGGCAGTGGTGGCACATGTCTTTAATCCCAGCACTCGAGAGGCAGAGGCAGTTAGATCTCTGTGAGTTCCAGGACAGCCTGGTACAGAGAGAGTTCCAGGACAGCCAGGGCTACACAGAGAGAATGTTTCAAGAAACAAAAACAAATAAAAAAAAATTGGGGCCCAAGGAGACTCATTGACTCCCCTAAGATTGTACATGAACCTGTAAGAGAGCTCTGACCGCCTCGTTCCCACCCTGTGTCCTCTCGCCAGCCTTCAGCTCTGTTGTACACAGAACCTGGCTAAATCCAGACCATATGTGTACATGATGCACATGAACGTGATATGAATGTGTGCACATACCAGGCTGGCTGTGTCAGAGACCAGCCGACATCTCCCATAGGTCAGACAGGGTCCCAAGGAGCTGGGGGTCCTTAGAAAGCAGGTCCTGGGCAGTGTGGAAAGGGTGCAGAAGCCAGCAGCAGTGCCGTGTGCACTTGCCTGGTGCCGTGTGCACTTGCCTGCTGCTGAGGCTGGCGGCCACTGGGTGTAGGGAACACTACCTGGGCCAGGAAGAGGGCAGAGAGAGTCAGCTGGACCTTGAAAGAGGAGAGTAGTTCTTCCAAAGAGCAGCACTATCTGAAGACGGGAAGAAAGGCATTCGCCGTGGCCTGCACAGATGGGCAGCAGAGACGGACAGGGTGCATCTAGAGTGTGTGGGTGGCTCTTCTAAGAAGGGAGGGATGGGGGACACCTGGCAGGCCTTTTCCCTGAGACGGAACCTGGGCAGTGTAAGCGTGGCATCCTTCCCACCTATCTATCCCGCCTGGCTCCTCAGCAGTCGTTTCTCCCTCGTCCCTGCTCCCATGGCAATCTGAAGAGCAGTCTCTCTCGCCTCCTCTCTCACAGGGAGCTCTGTCCAGCAGATCGGCCTCAGTGTTCCTGTCATCATCATCAAACAAGAGGAGGCCTGCCAGTGCCAGTGCGCTTGCCGGGACTCTGCGAAGGAGCGGGCGGCCAGCCGGAGGAAAGGCTGTGCCTCCCCACCCCCTCCAGAGCTGAACCCCCAGCCTCCTGACGGGCCCAGCCTTCAGTTACCGCCCTAGACTTCTCCCTCCCCCCGGCCCCCTCATCCTCCTCCACCGGACCCTCTTCCTGTGAGCAAAGCAGACAGGCTGAGGCTCCTCAGACCCTCTGAAATGCTAAGTGCCATGGATGTGTCAAAGTTCCTGTCCTTTCAGAGCCTGGACACCCGTCCAATCCAGTTCACAGTGAAGCGCCACTGCAGGGGTAGAGAAGACGCGCCTGGCCGGCAGCGTCGCCAGGGGAAGGGCCTGTGCGCGCCCCCAGGAACAGGGTGAGCAGGAAGTATCGGGTGTGAGGCTGCCGTCATGGGGTCAGAAATTGGAAGGATGAAGAAATCTGCCATCTGAAAGCCTCACCTTTCAGACATATTTTCTTTACTCATATCCCAGGAACATCCATTTTAAGGAACTGATCTTTGGAGGAAAACAAAAAAAAGAAAAAAGAAAAAAAAAAGCTAAGTTATAAGTGAACTGTCTGGCTGCACTGTATGTCACTTTTGCTTATTGTTATGTGAACTTGGAAATTAAGGTTACTGGTATGCATAAAAGTTCTAAATGAAAGGGTGTGGTTTCCATCAATTTGGTACTGCCCATCATTTGCACTGGGGTCATTGTGGATTGGGCAGGAGAGTTCAGTGTGCTGGTGTTGCTCCTCCGGCTTTTTTAATCTGAGGCGACACACCTGTCTGGAGGGCCAGACCACCGCCTCCGTGGAAGCGGTAGTGGCAAGGGCAGGTGTGAGGTGTGAGCTAGACAGGGGGATTGTTTGGTTGTTGGCGCTTTGTTTCTGTGGAGCTTGGAGTAGTAGGTGCAGAGGGGCCTGCCCTGTGTCCTGCTCAGTCCACACGGGCAGCTGCCAGCCCCCTGGCCATAGTGATGAGTGGGTGTGCAGGGCCCGGAGGCAGTTGTTGGTAGCTCTGTCGATAATGTGCTAGAGCTGGCTCTAGCAAGGCCCCAGTCTTTGCCTTCCTGGCTCTTTCCATTGCTCGGTGCTTCCAGTCAGGGCTGGAAGCTTGGAGCGCATCTGTCCTGAGGAAGCGCCTATTTTATCCTGAAGTGAACAGGCCAGTGGCTTCTGGCCAGTGGCTGCCAGGGTCTGGCTGCCATTGCTGGTGTTTTCTTCTCAGAGCAGGAGGGCTGCTTCTCCAGAGCAGGTACAGATCTGAGGGAGTTGGACGAAGCGGCCGGTGGTGCCCAGTTCTAGCCAGGCTTTTGGTTATTCCCTCCCATCTCCATCCCTCACATCTCTAGATTTTGCATATAGCCTCGTACAGTGCAAACAAGGATGTGATTTCTAAACAAAAAGGAATAAAAAACTAAAACGATGATCTTCTACTCAGGGTAAAACAAAAAATTCCCCTTCCACCAAAAAGCCTGAAGCTTGCAGTCAGTTACCTCATTTGGAATGTTTCATTAAGTTGTGTTATAGGATTTTTTTATTAGTGTATAGAATTATATCCATCTGCCTGCCTTTGGTTCCAGGTTACTGCCTCTTCAGATGTAAGTACAATCCATAGGAGAATGGGAGTTGCTGTCCTTCGGCTGTCTAATGTGGCCATTGGTGCTTGGGAAGCTCAGTGGCTAGCTGGGCCCAGGGTCTGAAGGAGGCCTCTGTCTCCTGCAAGGAGCAAGGGCCGGTGTCCAAACAAGACAAGAGAGCTGCATAGGTAGGTCGCCCTCCCGCTGCCTGGGCCTTCCCTCAGAGCCAGCCAGGATGGTGCCCTTTTAGAAGGCTCTTGTCTAAAGGCAAGATATTTAGGGACAGTTGACCAAGAGAGTCATGGCAGCAGTAATGGGAGAAATGGGTACAGCTGACTTCCCGTTCCAGGAGTTGACTGAGAGTATGAATTTCTTACTGATAATCTACGTGCCCTCTTCCCAAATGGCTGGTAGGTTTGGGTACCGTAGGCCTCGGCAGAAATCCGTAAGCTAGGAAGAGTCCTTTGTTAGCACAGTGGTTAGACCTCCTTGGGGAACCAGCTGCTTGGGTGCAGGTTGGCTTCGGCCGTCTCTAGGTCTTGCACCCACAGGAAGCTTTGCACTCAGGCCCTTGCTGTTTTCTTTCTAACCTCTGAGGGGAGCAGTGAATGGTACCCTAAGGTGATGGCTGGGGTTCTGGTTCGCTGGGAGCTGACATAGGAAACAGGAGCCATGGGGGGATGTGTGAAAGGTCTGAATGGCTTAAATATGGCTTCCTGGTGAGTTAGGGCTGTGCTCTTAATGGTCCCTTCCTGGGTCATTGGCTTTTCACTCTCCACAGTTGAGGGGTGTAGAAGAAGCATTTAAGCAGTGTTGAGGCTGACGTGTTTCCAGTTGAAGGAGTTAAGTATTTGTCTTTGTGTGACTGTAGAACACAAGACTCAGCTCTAACTAGCTTTCGGAAATTGAGGAATGTGTTTAAAATCAGGAGTTGTGCGGGGCCGGGTGTGCTCCACAGGGTAGACAGGCTTTCCTTCCATGCTGTTCCAGCTCTCCCTCATCCTCCTGCAAGCCCAGCCTCTAATGCCAAGGACCTCAGAGAAGAGGGGGCCCCCTGGCTAAACCAGAGCCAGAAAGACCTTCCTGGAGAGTGGTTTCTCAGGGGAATGAACTTAGGGTGAGACTGAGAAGAGAGACTTCTGGCAGGTGGATTTAAGCCTTTTCTGCCTCCCAGGGCATCCTTCACCATTGTGACCCTGTAGACCACACTTGGGCCACCACTGGCACTTCTCCAGGTTAGCCCCTTCCAAGAGGCTGGTTCACGACAAGACTGGAGAGTGGAGCTGGTGGTCCTGGAGGTGGCCAGGCAATCTTGGTCCCACCAAGCTGCCTTATAAATGTGGCCCTTCCCAGACAGGAGGGCAAGGCTGAAGGAAGGGGGCTCAGTCTCCTTGCCAGGGTCTGGCCAAGCTCATGGGCAGCACCAGCTTGGTGACTGGAGTGGTGTTGTTCATTGACTCTTACTCCAGTTTAGAAGATCATGGTGCAATGCCAAGGAGAGGCCTTAGCGGTGTGGGGACCTCTCTAGGTAGAGGCAAGGGGGCTTCTCTACATGGGAAAAGGTAGTTTTCCAAGGGCAGTGGACTGATGGGTAATGGAGGTAGATGAGGTTTTCCTGAGGCTTTGTATGATGCTGAATGTGTCCAGAGGGACAAAATTGCAGAACCTCATATTGGTATATTAAAGAAATAATAAAATAAAAAGCACTTTAGGTTACTTTATCTTTAACCCAATTGCTGCAATTTCTGTTGTGTGTGTATATATATATACATATATATACTTTCCACAAAGTTTTATTTTTTGCTCAGAATAAAGTTGAGGTGTGAAAAGAAAAGCACTTACTTCAGTGCAATATATGTGTAGCTTGACAGTCACTATCCCATGTGGCCCTGGCCCGGCCTGGTTTTCTGCTCCCTCAGCCCCGTGCTGAAGCTGTCCCTAGGGAAACACTATCGTGCATCTCAGCAGCTGCTCATCTATGCAACCTTCCCTGTGTCCCGGGCGCCCCCTCAGGCCCTCCGAGGAGCTGCTGCAGCCGTTTTCTTCTGACTGTTGAGTCCCCTTCTGCCACTTCTCTGTCCCCCTGCTTTCCCCTCTTCACCATGACAAAATGATTCCCGGAAGGGACAGGCTGTTCCAGGTAAAAACCTGGCACCTTCTAGACTTTCATATTTGTAATCCCATCCATTGATGGTAACGGCTTCTCCAGTGTCGCTGAAACTATTGATTTGTAGAACTGCACCACGATTGCTCATTTTACAGCTTTTTTTTTTTTTCTTTTAACACCCCAAATCAGAAATACGTTGGAAAAAAGGAGTGGGCAATACAAACCATTTCTGTACTGCCCTCTGCACGTCCTATGTTGGTTCAAAGCAGACTGCCGGGCCTCACCAAATCCAGTAATAAAGACGCTAATAACCTCCCTCATGGGCTCCCACCTAATCTTAAAACCCAGCTGCAGACTAGAGGCATTTTAAATACACTTCAGCCAGAGCAAGATTTCCACAGATGCAGTTTGCAAGTGGTTCTGCTGCGACATAGATGGGAAACTGTCCATCTCTTATTTGAGGTGGAAGAGGTTTGGCCACAAAGCCAGATGATTCATATTTCTGATTGGTCAATCTGTTTGGCCTGTTTCTGGCATATTCTTGGAGCAAAGATAAAAAGGTCTCATCTCTTATGCCCCTGCTCGTAGGGAGGATGATCTTTAGTCTGGGCATTTCTCACTGTTATTCCTGGTGGCAAGAGGGCATCTCAGTCTGCACTAAAAATGCAAGTTATTGGATCTGTCAAGGTATATTACAGTTCAAGCTTTTTCTAGAAGTGGGATTTAAAAACCATGCACTGCTCCCTTGGTGGTGGCCTACTGGGCCAAAAATAAGTGATCATGTCATGTCACTTTCTCAACTCAATGCAGTTTCTAATTTTTTTTTTTTACAGGAAATTTTTTTGTAACACTTTTTTCCACCAAAACCTAGGTGTTTTTTGCAATATCCTTATTGCCCTCGTGGTGCCAAGTCAGGGCTCGTCCGTCCTGGCCTCTGTGTTCTCAGGCCTCCCGAGGGCTGTTGGACTCAACAGTCTGCGTCTTCTGTTGTGCTTTGGAGAGAATGTCACTGAGGTTGGAGTTTTAGGCAACTGTTCCCTTTTCCTGTGAACTTACCCCTAGTTCCAGTTGGGGAGGGTAGCTGGACACAGGCTTTTCTGGCTACCTGGCTCAGACCTAGCCAGAAAAGGCCACAAATTCTCTTTTCTAACACACACTAATCATTGGCCAGTGGTCTTGGTGACAAGTTTTTAAGTCCCAAATACTTTTATTTGGATTATGTAAAAGTATCAAATTTATTTTAAATGTAAAACATGGGAACAACGGACTTCCACTGAGCGATATGAAAACGTTACAGGTTCAGTACTTCCAAAGGAAGAAACTTCCAAATCCAAAAAAGAATACGAATTTGTATTTTTGAAGAATGTGAAATAATGGTGTTTGCTTAATTGCTCATTTTGTATAAACTTAATATTGTACTTTAAAATATCTGCTATGAAGTGAAAATTTAACTTTTTGGAATTGAAAAAGCAATATTAAATACTAATGAAATCTTAATTAAATGCTTATTTAAATCTGGTAGTGCCTGTGCATTACTTCCCATCCTTGTTCCTGGTTGACATTCTCTCCCGATTCCCCACTCCCCAGCCATCAAGTCTTGGAGGGGGGACAGAAAGGAAAGGTCCATCACCAGTTGTCTACAGGTTTCCTTTTAATCAAGACTCTGCTGAAGTGTTTTGTGGGGCTGATAGCCCCCAAAGCATGAAATGAACAAGTAATACCACCTGGAACCCCCAAAGCAGGCTAGACCACTCTGGCCAGCACTGCTGGCCTGCCCGAATCCGAGTACTCAAGACTGGGTATTCGTTGGCTACATTTCCAAACACAGTACTGCCTTCAGCCAGGACGATGTGGGAGTGAACCCAGCTGCTTGCAAAGTTGCCATCCCAGGCTGAGGGCCAAGTACCAGCAACTGCCAGTGAAGACTGGCCCCTTTAGTGAGGGGAGTTGGTCAGAGTCCAGCCACCGGCCCTGGAAAGGGACAGAAGTCAGGGTGCCCGGCTAGGAAATGGTCAAGGCTCCGCAGCTCCATCGCCAGCATCCTTTGGAAGGCCACCTCTGGCAGATACAGCGGGCTGGGGCGGCGCTCCGGACTTGGCTGAACCGTTCTAGTTGGAACAGAAAGGGGGGGTGGAGGGGGATGAGTCTGGGAGGAAAGGCCTTAGTTAGGCCCTGCAAGGTTAAGTCCACTTGGCATCTCGACAATACCGTACTTTTTCAAAACCTCCCCCAGATCAAAGGAGGTTACGTGTAGAGCGGTGGGGGGTGCTCTTCCACCCCCCTTCTGGGGCGGGGGCGAGTTTGGCCAGTGTAGTCAGTGGGCACACCCCACCTCCCCAGGCCCAGCCCGGAGTGGGCACTGACCCCGCCACCAGCCGGCTCCGGACGCCGGCGGCCAAGCTGCCGCAGCATCTCCTCGCAGGCGGCGATGGTGTCCAGGAGCTGCCGCTGCCGCTGCTCCACGGCGTCCAGCAGCTGCTGGGCGCGCTCATCCCG